AAATAAATAAACATTAAAAAAAAAAAATTAAAAAAAAAAACTTTTCTCAGATTTCAACTGTTTATTGCTAATATACAGAATTACAAATGATTAAATATATTTTTAAATAGATTCTTAAATATTTTAAAATATATTTTAAATAGATTTTTAAATATTTTAAAATCTATTTTAAATATATTTTTTCTTTCTTATTAAATATATTTTTCTACTATTAGTTAACTAACTACTAGTAACTAGTAGTTAGTTACTACTAGGTAACTAACCTTACTAGTCTAGAAGGGTTTTGGGGATGCTTCGGGATTTTCCAGAGATGATTACTTCATCTGCAAAAGGATCCTCCCTGATTTCTGTCTTTAGTTTCCTTTTCTTGCCTTATCACTATTATTTCTAAATTGTGGAAGAATACATACATTTCAGAGCTAAAGCCATCTTGAGAATATTCAACAGAAAGTAAGAAAATAGTGAAGTAATCCTAATAGTTGAGCGTCTAACGGTGTCAAGGTTGTTTATGAAGGACTGTATGGTATTACCGACTTCATACCTTGACAATTAGTGCAGCCATAACCCAGATGCCTCCACGGTTAGCAGGTTATTTATCATGAATACACAGAACAATGTGTTGGGACTCAGAATTCACAGCTACAGGTCTGAGATATTTTAGGACCATGGGGGTTGGCTGAGCTGAGCCTGGGTCACCTTACTAGTCCTGACCCCTGATCTCGGCTCGCGTGGCCTTTCCTACGAGGCCACAGACCGTCTGGGATAAATCAAGCCGTCTGCAGAGTTGGGAGAGGGAGGAGTGCGCAGGGCCCCTGACGCACCGGCCGCGCCCGGGACAGTTCAAGTGGCTGCTCCTCTTGAGTAAAGTGTGGGCGTTCAGAGCGGAGTCTGGCCTTTAAAAGAGGAACACCAAAACATTAACCGCACTTTGCGCCAGGAACAGAATACGGATTTAGGAAGGAGAAGGGAAGGCGGCCTCTTCGTTGGGAGTCCTTCACCCCGTCGTTGACACAAACAATTACTGGACAGGTACCGACTCCAGGTAGGGCTTAGGCTCTGCAGGCAGAGCAGGGCGGACATTTATATTCAGGCTGGCTGACCCCGTTAGGATAAGTCAGTCAGAGGCGAACGCTTTATCCTTCACACTCCCGGGATAAAAAGACTGGTTATCAAGGAAGTATGAAAAACAGGGCATTTTCTTTTCAAGCATAGGATTTCCTGTCTGTTTTGCAAGGGATCCGTACTCTGCTTCCCTCGATTTCCTCTGAAAGTATTTGAGAAATTTATCGTGACCTTGGGCTCAAAACGGGCTGGACATGTAGCGCGGCAGACGACGGCTCACACCCGTCTGCGGCTCGTTTCGCGCTGCCGTCCTGTGCTGTGTGTCGTTTAACTTAATCTGAGTTTCTGTTTTCTCTCCCGACTGCACGTGGCTTCCTGGGACCAGTGATGGCTTCGTGTGTCTTTGCGAGCCCAGCCGGCTACCTCCAGTGGCCGTGACTCCACGCCTGCCCACGGCCGGCCGGCCCACCGGCCTCCTGAGTCATCCACAAAGTGTTACGAAGCAACGTGAAGCTTCAAGATATCTCCCTGGCTTCAGTAAGAAAACATGACTCAACTGTTATCAAGTTAGGTGGTTGAGTACTTTAAGGCTACCTCATTTTCAAAGGATTTGAAGGCTCTCAGATTTACAAAGATATACCATAAACACAAAAGGAACAGATTTTAGATCTCAGGGAAAAGATGCTTCGGGAAGATAAGTGGCTGAATTCCTGTCAAAATAACGTAGGAACGATGTCCAGACTTTGGGATACCCAAATACTCTAAACTGGTCACCTTAACAAAAATGAAAAGCTAGTACCTTAACGAGATCCAACTCAGTGAGAACCAAACACCGTTTCCTGAGTCCCCTTGTGTTTAAATGCATCAGCTAATGGGGAGTTTACGGATTTGTGGGCCACCTATGACCCTGTAAACATATTCTGGTTACTAGGTTAACTTAGGGCATCCGCATTTGACATCTTGAACAACCGTGAGCGACCCCGTCCAGCTGGTAATGACCTCACTCTCTGAGTCCTTCATGGTCTGGCCACGCCCCCGGGCCCACCTGTAATGGCCGTGGGCGGCTGGGCCACCAACTGCCCGTGGTTTCAGAGTAGCTCACGGAGTTTCGTTCTTACATGAAAAGCTTGCTTCCGCCTCAGGCGTGTGAGGCGGCATTTAAGTAAACGTTTCTGGAGTTTATGAAAATAAGGAAACACACGATCTACTAAAATTCTAATTACTCACAAAAGCTTCCGGTAGTTTTTGGATCTTTGATCCTGTACCGCTTTACTGAATGATAACGGTTTTGCCGTTTTAGAATATTAAAACAAAGTTTTCCTTGTAATTCACAATAATATTGCCATCCAGATACTAGTGCTTGATGTATATATTTTACACTTGCATTTTATTATCAAATTAAATGTTCTTGAATATAATGACTGATATTTTATTTTACACGACACTGATGCACTAGCTTTATTTCTGTCCTGACTATGAAAGTAACGTGAGCACTCTGTATTTTTTTCCAAGGAACTTTAAATCTGCTTTGCTCCAACTCCATAAGAAACCCACCAAGCCCAAAGATTGATGTCCTTTAATTAACATTAAGGGGCCAGCGCTCTCCGAGGGGTCAGGCGTCAGCTGAACGGAGTCTGTGCTAACACCAGCAAATTCCTTCTCCGCACGGCTGTAGTCTTAAAGATCTGACTTGGTGATTTCAGGTTGGCAATTGTAAACCTGGATTTAATTGGGGGTTAGTGGGCTTTGTTCTCAGTGTTCCTTCAGGAGACTAGCCTTCTGCAAAACTCCAAGGTCACTGTAACTTGTGCCTGGAGAGCTGGGGGCTGTTCCTGTTTTCCACGTTATGAAAACATGGTCTCATAAAAAAACACGACACACCGAAGCTTCGTTCGGGAATACTTCGACCTGAACAGAGCGCGGTTTGGGGCCAAATAAATGTATGTACTACACGCTTTCAGGAAGTGGTGTTTTCTGGGGGTGGACTTTTCCTCCGCAGCATCCTTGTGACCACAGCCCTGGGTCCTGGGGACAGGGACACACTGGCTGTCGCATCTCAGACGGGACTCTGACGTGCACGGTGTTGGGACGCGGCAGCGAGTGGACGGGAAGTCAGTCCTGCCAGTAAGCGTCCTTCCCGCAGGAACAGGCAACGAGGGCGCACCGGCCACTGGGTGACCCAGGTCCATCTGCCGAGCTGCCCAAAGTCCCCCCAACGCTTCAGAGCCTCTTTGCGATTGTAACCGTTCATACGCACCACGACAGAGCTTGACTGCAAACATCTGAGAAAACGGTTTTCCCTTTCTGACGTTTAAGTCAAAAGGAAAATGTTAACAACTAGGAAAAGTGAAAAACATGCGGAAGAATGGAGAAGACACTGTTTAGAGCCTGCCTGGAAACGCGTCACGGCTGGCACACGTCCTCACAGCAGGTGCTCAGCTGGAACACCAGGAGCGGGCGTGCTGGTCCCGGGAGGCGCGGCCGCGGGCGGGTACCTTGGTGAGGTCCTTGTACAGCTCCGGGTACAGCATCGCCGTCTCCGGCTTCACGTCTTGGTCCAGCACCAGCGAGAACACCGGGAACATGGTGTATATGGTCGCATACCTAAAACCCACAGGGAGTCAGGTCAGCGCGAGGAATGCGCACCCCTGTCGACACAGCTGTGCGGTCAGGGGCTGGCGCCCCAAATCCCAAACAGTAAAGCCAGGCTCGGCTTCTTCCTGGGACTTAATGCTCACCCCAAATAACACAGCCTGCTCACACAGGTCCACTTTTTTCTTTCTTACACTTTGTATTCTGAGGTCTCTGCAGACCCACAGGCAGTTGTAGGAAATCACAGAGAACCCCCGTGCGCTTCACCCAGCTTGCCCGGCGGTGGCAGCCCCGTCTCGCGGCCCCGGGTGTCGTGTGGGCGCTGGCGGTCAGAACCTCCACCGGCGGCAGCGGGGCCCCTGACGCCCCTCCCTCCCACACCCCCCTGCCCCCGCTCATCCGCTAACCTGCCCCCCACCCTACAGTTTTGTCATCGCAAGGCCACACTCGTGCCTCGCACTCAGCCTGACCCCCAGGAGGCTGTTCCAGGCACCACTGCAGCCGCGGGCACCCCGTTTGCCCGGTGGGGGTGCCTGACTCCGCGGCCCCGTCGATCACGGGAGGGCAGTGGGGTCATTCCCCGTTTCCGGCTGCCACAAATAGAAGCGCTATGAATACTCACTGCACGGGTCTTCGTGTCAAACCAAGCTGTCGCTTGTTTCTGAAAGGAGCCGCCTGGGGTCGTAAGCCCAGGAGCGTAACTGCTGGGGGATTCGGTAGCAGAAGGTTTCGTTTTTCAAACACACTTGCTGGCCCTGCCCGTGCGCCCTCTGCCAGGAGCAGTGTCGCTGGGCGGCTGTGTGCCCGGACACCGTCCCTCCCACCGGGTTCTGCAGAGAACCCGCTGTCCTTGGCCGCGCCCCCCAGCTCTCCGCTGCCCAGGAGTTTGTCTTCTGAAGTCTCAGGCTGAAGCATCCTGGTGTGGATGTCCCTGGATGGGCCATGTGTGGGGAGCTGTCAGCCATCCTTTCTGCCTCCTCAGCCCTGCCCTCTGTCCTCCCTCCCTCCGGGGCTCCAGGGGCACAAGGCCAGAGTCCTGGAGGCCTCGGGTCTCTGGGCCGTTCGTCCCGACCGGCGGTGGGCCCTGCGCTCTGGTCCGTTTCCATTTGGTTCTGCTTCACTTTTTCTACGTCTTGGCCGAGTCTTGTCTTTCCGTTGGTTCTAACGCTCCCGTCACTCGTTACAGTATTTTTGCACAGCCGCTTCACGCCTTCATCAGACACACCTAACCCGGGCTCCTCGGGGCTGGCATCCATTCTCTCTGACTCACTCGGAAACCTTCCTGGTTCCTGGTGTGGCGAGTGATTTTCTCCTGAAACCCGGACGCTCGGGTGCCGTGCAGCCTGGGTCTCCTGGAGCTGTGCCACCCCCGCCCGCCCTGGATGCTGCCAAGGACTGCTTGTTACCGTGCCTTCCAGGGAGGTAGGGACGGGGCACGGGGGCTGCTGCAGGGACCCTCCCTGTCCGGCCGGCTGCCCCCTCCTGTCCCTCGGCCGCAGCACAGGCTCCTGGGGGTCCTCATCCCTGGGACCAGGGCCATCTCCAGCTGCCAGCTCGTCCGTCCCGGGGC